TCTGCTGCACACACACTCACACTCTCATCACTAGAATCTGTACCCATCTCTTATTGCTCTTCCTCACAACTCTACATACATTTTCCCTCCCCTTTAAGCCACTCTGCCACACTCTCCCCCCTCCCCCTCAACATTTTTTCCCATACCCAAACTTGCCCTCACCACACTTCCACTTCCCTTACCACTCCTCTTTCCATTCATTCCTGCCCTCACCACTTTTCTGCTGCTCTCACCACTCTCCCCCAGACTCACCCCTCCCTCACCACTATCCCCCCATAGGTCATTTTGTACCAATGGGCACACTTTTGCTAGTATATAGTAAAAAAGAATCAACAACAGGAACAATGTGAGAGACCTGGTGCCCTACTGGAAAACAAAGGTGTTTATTGCTATATATTCATATAATGTAGGGGTACTTGACAGTAGACGCATTAAACAACCAGTTTTTAAACAAAAATAGGCTGCTTATTCCTACATAATGAAAATGAAATGAGTACAAAGTATAACTATAAAAATGTCAAACAAGAAAATTCTACCTACTTACTTAGTGCTTGCCCTGGATAACTTCCTTATTGCAAATAGTATTTCTCAGCAATCCAAAAGGCCACCATGTAGTGACAGTTTCCAGCTTTACAGCACAGCTCTACAATGTGAGCTGATATACTAATGGTCTAAGTTGGAATTAAAAATTCTTCTTTTCTGGTTAAAGGATGAAATTTCAGCTTTGGACACTCCATGGCAGTTAAAGGTCCTGTGCACTGGTGACATGTAGCAAATGCTGCCAATGAAGTAAAAAAATCTTTCAAAAAATTCTATGAGATGTCAGACATACTTTGCATCAGAAGTTTGCAGCAACTGTTAATAATGTGTACATTAATTAAAATGAATTAAATAAAGAACAATTGGAGTGCTAGCCTCATATTTTATGTGCTATCCCTATATGCTTTACTTACACATCTTGTTAATTTGCAATCAGAGATAAGGAGCCTGAAAGCAAACTTCTCTTTAGAAACCCATAATTCCCTGTGCACACTATGTTTTTAATGTACCATGTATTAAATGTATTTATCACAATAGTCAGAAACAGATATACAGATTTAAGACATTAGACTATTAAAGTTTTCTTGGCCTTCTCGCGATGCATATCTATCATTTGAAAGCTAACAAAATGTACTCCCTGTATGGCCAGTTAGGCATTGACACAGTTGTGACTAAACTACTCTGCCTCTAGTAGCCAAACTACATATCTCTACCAGGGGTGGACTGACCAATCAGGCACTCGGGCACTGCCTGAGGGCTCAGGGCCAGTAGGGGCCCCATGAGCAGGGCTGTCTTTTCACACGGGGCTCCAAGGTGCATGAGCAGCACCTTCAGTTTCATGTGTGTGGATAGAGCGGGTAATTAGTGCAGCAGGTGGGGGAAATACAGGTGAAACTCGAAAAATTAGAATATTGTGCAAAAGTTCATTTATTTCAGTAAGGCAGCTTAAAAGGTGAAACTAATATATGAGATAGACTGATTGCATGCAAAGCAAGATAGTTCAAGACGTGATTTGTCATAATTGTGATGATTATGGCTTACAGCTCATGAAAACCCCAAATCCACAATCTCAGAAAATTAGAATATTACATGCAATCAATAAAACAAGGATTCTATATAGAAAAATATCGGACCTCTGAAAAGTATAAGCATGCATATGTACTCAGTACTTGGTTTGGGCCCATTTTGCAGCAATTACTGCCTCACTGCGGCGTGGCATGGAAGCTATCAGCCTGTGGCACTGCTGAGGTGTTATAGAAGACCAGGATGCTTCAATAGCGGCCTTCAGCTCTTCTGCATTGTTTGGTCTCATGTCTCTCATCTTTCTCTTGGCAATGCCCCATAGATTCTCTTTGGGGTTCAGGTCAGGCGAGTTTGCTGGCCAATCAAGCACAGTAATCCCACCGTCATTGAACCAGGTTTTGGTGCTTTTGGCAGTGCGGGCAGGCGCCAAGTCCTACTGGAAAATTAAGTCAGCATCCCTATAAAGCTCATCTGCGGAAGGAAGCATGAAGTTCTCCACAATCTCCTGTAGACGGCTGTGTTGACCCTGGACTTAATGAAGCACAGTGGACCAACACCAGCAGATGGCATGGCTCCCCAAATCAACACAGACTGTGGAAACTTCACACTGGACTTCAAGCGTCTTGCAGTGTGTGCCTCTCCATTCTTCCTCCATACTCTGGGTCCTTGGTTTCCAAATGAGATGCAAAAATTGCTCTCATCAGAAAAGAGGACTTTGGAACACTGAGCAACAGACCAGGTCTGTTTTTCTTTAGCCCAGGTAAGACGCCTCTGACGTTGTTTGTTATTTAGGAGCGGCTTGACAAGAGGAATACAAAATTTAAAGCCCATGTCCGGGATCCGTCTGTGTGTGGTGGCTCTTGATGCACTGACTCCAGCCTCAGATCACTCCTTGTGAAAGTCCCCAACAATTTTGAATGGCCTTTTCCTGACAATCCTCTCCAGGCTGCGGTCATCCCTGCTGCTTGTGCACCTTTTTCTTCCACACCTTTCCCTTCCACATAACTTTCTATTAATGTGCTTTGATACAGCACTTTGGGAACATCCAACTTCTTTTGCAATTACCTTTTGAGGCTTTCCCTCCTTATGGAGGGTGTCATTGATGGTTTTCTGCACAACTGTCAGGTCAGCGGTCTTTCCCACGATTGTGATTCCTACAGAACCAGACTGAGAAACCATTTAAAGGCTCAGGAACCCTTTGCAGGTGTTATGGCCTTTGTCTCCTGTTCATTCATCTAAGGTGCAGCTGAGGCTACAGAGAAAGGGACTGGGGAATGTGTCCTCATTAGAGATATAACATTTCCAGAAATTTTGAAGCCATGGGAAAAAAAAAAATCCTTTTTTCCTGTTTTTTTTTCCAACAAAATGGGGAAAAAAATTCAGTGTGAAGTAGTTTTACAAATTGAAAATTCTTTTGTTACACTGGGAAATGCAGTGTATGTAAAAGTATTATGCTTGAAATATAAGTACAGCTTATTCAGTAAATAAACTAAATTTGATTTTTAAATTATATTTTTTATTACAAATAGAATAAAAAGGACTGTATATGTTAAAAACATTTCAAGAAGAGCAGGTAACGACCCCCTTTCCCTCATAATAATTTAAATGCTTCCTGCCAATATGCGTTTTGCAGTTATTGGCAATGCAGATCCAGAAGCATATTTTGCTCTTGCAAGAACTTGATCAATGTTCTCCAGATTTTCAGGTGTCATTTTATCTATAAATGAAGGGATTGTGTATTTTTGGGAGGCTGTGGTTTGTGACACTATCTTACCTGAAGATGCTGCTGATGAAGAAACACTGTGATGATCCAGAAGGAGCAGAAAGAGTGTTCCTGGAATGAGAACTCTGGAGGGAAAAGTTACTTGCACTTTCATTATGGTCCTCATCATTTAATTCCATAAAGTATTTTTTAATGTCTTTAGGTCACCTCTGACATGCAAGGATGTGTTTGTCATCCTTGTACCATTTGGAAAAGGATATTTCTTCACACAATATTTGCAAATTAAAGCTCTGCACTCAGCAGAAATTGCATTCTGGAAATGTTTCCAAACTCTAGATCAGTGTTCTTCAACCTTTTTTCAGTCAAGGTACCCTTTAAAGTTATGGACAGTCCCGAGGCTCCTTTTAAAGTTATGGACAGTCCTGAGGCACCCTTTAAAATTATGGACAGTCTCAAGGCTCCCTTTAAAATTATGGACAGTCCCGAGGCACCCTTTAAAATTATGGACAGTCTCGAAGCACCATTTAAAATGATGGCAAGTCCCGAGGCACCCTTTAAAATTATAAACAGTCCTGAGGTACCCTTTCAAATTATGGACAGTCCCGAGACTCCCTTTAAAATTATGGACAGTCTCAAAGCACCATTTAAAATGATGGACAGTCCCGAGGCACCCTTTAAAATTATGGACAGTCCCAAGACTCCTTTCAAAATTATGGACAATCCCGAGGCACCCTTTAAAATTATGGACAGTCCCGAGGCACCCCTGTAAAATTATGGACAGTCCCAAGGCACCCTTTAAAATTATGGACAGTCCCAAGACTCCCTTTAAAATTATGGAGAGGCTCGAGGCTCCCTTTAAAATTATGGACAGTCCTGAGGCACCCTTTAAAATTATGGACAGGCTCCGGGCACCCTTTAAAATTATGGACAGGCTCGAGGCACCCTTTAAAATTATGGACAGTCCTGAGGCACCCTTTAAAATTATGGACAGTCCTGAGGCACCCTTTAAAATTATGGACAGTCCTGAGGCACCCTTTAAAATTATGGACAGTCCCAAGGCACCCTTTAAAATTATGGACAGTCCCGAGGCACCCTTCAAAAATTATGGAGAGGCTCGAGGCTCCCTTTAAAATTATGGACAGTCCCGAGGCACCCTTTCAAATATGGACAGTCTTGAGGCTCCTTTTAAAATTATGGACAGTGTTGAGGCTCCCTTTAAAATTATGGACAGTCCCGAGGCACCCTTTAAAATTATGGACAGTCCCAAGGCACCCTTTAAAATTATGGACTGTCCTGAGGCACCCTTTAAAATTATGGACAGTCTTGAGGCTCCTTTTAAAATGATGGAAAGTCCCAAGGCTCCCTTTAAAATTATGGACAGTCCCAAGGCACCCTTTAAAATTATGGACAGTCCCGAGGCACCCTTTAAAATTATGGACAGTCTTGAGGCACCCCATTCTAAAATGTGAAAAACTATTTTTTAACAGTTTTATATAATGTAGCAACATCCACACACGTAGGACATCCAACATTAGAGGTGGTTTATTCTTCCAAAGCAAATACACTTTTGCACACTGGTACTGACTAGTATTCCAATGTTTCTCTTCTCCCTCAGTTTTTATTCATTGCTGAGCTAATGTGACCCCAGCACTGATGTAGAGGGGCAGGGGAGGGTCAAACTAGGATGCTGTGCAGGCAGCTAACATCCTCCTTATCAACTGATGATGTCATTGGTTGTCAGGACGCCAGCAGCTAGAAGGTTGTAATGGTGCACAATGAAAAACTGTGGCTTTGTGTAACTAAAAGGCAGGCTTGTTCCACCCGCTGGCTTGTATACAAGTTTTGACCAATTTTTAGACATTTTGCCAAGGCACCCCTGAAAAAACCTCAAGGCACCCCAGGGTTCCTGGGCACACTGGTTGAGAAAGGCTGCTCTAGATGTTGGCCTCATCATTTTACTGAGAGATGGAAAAGAAAAATCAATGTACTGACCAGACTATAGGTAAACATTATGCTGTGATGATGGAGAGCATTATTAGGTATCATTTAAAGCTTATAAAGATAAACACATTTTTCAACAAATTCACCCTTTTATCTGTCACTTAAGGCCTGAGAGGATAGAAACTATCATCTATTGTATCCCAACAATCACCCAACTGTAGGAGTATAATATGGAGCCCACAAGCAAACTAAACTGGAGCAATTGAAGATATGCATATTTCTCTTGTTTGAGACCTGCATTGAGGAGTATAGTGGTACTTGAATTGTATTCAAGGATTTGCTTGTCTTCAGCTAAGAGAACATGTAATAATTTAAGACTTTACATAAAGTCTCAGAAATCTTTCATTAAGGTCTTCATGTTCTATAGTTTCAATACTATGGTATAGATATATTATTTATCATTGTAAATGAACAAATTCCACACTTCTTTCAGCCTTAAAAAAAAGGGGGAAACATTTTGTTTCCTTTTTTTCCATATTTTTCCAGGCCTTCCCATCTCTAGTCCTCAGTTCCTCTCTCTGTCTCAAAAGTGAGATTTCAGGAGTCTATTTAGACGCCTGATGTTTCCAAAGCCCCAACCCCCCAGCATTATGAATTTTTTTTTAATTATTTAATTAAAAAAATGTAAATAGAGAAAATGTGAAAAAGTATTAAATTACATTTTTAAATAGTAAAATTAAAAACTATAAAAAATAAAATGTGGTAAAAAAAAACAGACTAAAATTTCTAATAAGATTAAAAAAAACATGTCTAATAAGTGGCATAATTTAGCAGCACCCACTGTGTGCCACTTCAGGTCACCATCTCCCTGGTAAGGATCCCAATGCATTACTTTGCCCACATGCTGTTAAGGTGGCACTGCCCATAAGTGGTTCCTGGTACTTTTAATGGGTCCCCAGCTTTAAGTCTATCTGCCAATCTGCATTAGAAGAAAGATAAACAGTACCTGTGCTCCCAATAGCTTCTACATGTATACAATCTGGCAGGTGCTACAGCACTGTGACCTGCTAGATTATATACATGGATAAGCTATAGGGATCTGAGCAGAGGTATGTCCTCCACTGCATTGCAGGTCAGCGACCAGACCTGAGACTTGCAGCTCCCCTACAACTCAAGTCTATCTGCCCCATATTGGCACTGTATCCATTGTAGCATTAGCATTTTGCACAGCAAAAAAGGGCTGGCCAGAGAGGAATTACTTTGATGCAGTTGCCAGCTTAAATATGTATATCAATGTGTGTGAACTAAAAAGAACCATTTTTTTATTGCAACGTTTGCCAGAGAGAGTGCATTTCAGTATGCAGAGGGTTTTTCCACAAATTTTACTGCCACTCTGCATGTCCCCAAGCTCTGTGCCCCTCCACGTGAGCCTGCTGCATTAATGTTGCATTATAAGGAAGGCTGCCATGCTGCAGTAATCTTTAAACCTAGGGGCAATATGATCCCCTATTGTCCTGGGACCCCATGAGTTGTCAGTCCACCTCGATCTTTACATTTTATACAATAGCAAAAAAGTAAGATAAAGCATGTACAAAATTGAAAGAAGGGTTAGATTTTGTCCAAGACCACCTAGGACATGGCCTAAGGTGCCTCAGACACTGAGGAAGGTACAAATAACTACAAGACTTACCTGGTAGGGCATCAGTGCCACTAATAATTCTGCAAAAAATATGCAGGACAAATAAGGACTTCCCTATTAAACCTCCCCTAACTCCAGCATGCAGAGTTATTATTGCATGCATTGCCACTGGGGAGTGGGGTGGAGCATGTTCATTCATCACCAAAATAAATATTAAACTGCAAATCTTGACATTATGCAACACTATGTAAAGCACTGTAGATGGTAGTTGCCATTTAAAGGTATGTGCACCCTAACATGTATCTACAATATGCTACAGTGCACCTATATCTAGCTTACAAAACACACATTTCTCTGCTCTGTACATTGTGTTGCCCGAAAACAATCATGGGGGCCTATTTTTTAATTTTTCAACATAGTACATATTGTGTTGCCATGGATCCCCCTAACTGTGTCAGTACAACTGTGTTTGCAGTATTAGTATTATTATTATTACTACGAGTTTATAGCGCCAAAGGGTTTGCTCAGCGCTGTACAATAGGGGGGGGACAATACATGGCACAGTACAACAAAGACAGACAGCGTACGAGTAATATGTTTCTGATTGTGTCAGTACTCCACCAATTGAATTGTTGCAGTCCTCCACCTCAATGTGACAGATCAGATCAATACTGAACTCTTCTATGCAGATATACAGTATTTCTGATTGTGTTAACACAGCACTTTTTGTATCTCTGTACATATGTTTCTGGTTTCAGTGCAGTACTAATTGTTTATCTGTGGACATGTTTTCTTTTTATGGGGACGTTTGATGCAGCTGCCAACACGTGACTAATGTATAAGTTAAAGTGGTTATAAAGGCTCAAAGTTTTGCCTTCATGTATTCTTTGCATGAAGGTAAAAAAAATCTTCTGTGTACAGCAGCCCCCCTAATACTAACCTGAGCCCCATCGCGATCCAGCTATGTGCACGAGAGCCTCAACTCTCCAGGGACTTTCCCTCCCCATTGGCTGAGACAGCAGTCGATCGGAGCCAGTGAGCCAATGAGGAGAGAAAGAGGCGGCTGGGTCAATCCACAGCTCTGTGTGTGAATGGACACTCAGAGCAGCAGTTCCAGAGCGAGTCCCCATATCAGATGTTTGTTCTGGGCGCACTAGGCAAGAGGGAGGGTCAGAAGCACCAGCAGGGGACCCAAGAATCGGAGGATCGGCACTGCTCTTTGCAAACCCACTGCACAAAGCAGGTAAGTATAACATGTTGGTATTAAAAATATGCCTTTCATATTACCTTAAAGTCTACTGCTTAGAGAATTCAGTTTGTAAATGGACAGGAAAGTGGCTAAAAGATCGTATTCAGAGAGTAATGATTAATGATTCATACTCTGAATGGTCCAGGGTTATTAGTGGTGTACCCCAAGGTTCAGTGTTGGAACCCTTATTTTTATAAATGATATAGTGTACTTTATAGGATTAAAAGTGGCATGTCAGTCTTTGCAGATGATGCCAAGCTATTCAGGGGCACCAGATGATGTTGTGGTGCCTTTTGCAGAACAAAGGGAGGTTACTGGTGAAGGAAGTGCTGCCCTTGGGCTTCAGGAGAGATGAGCAGAGTGTTAGGCTGTATAGCAGTGGCAGGTTCATTGTCTTGCCCCAGAGTGCTGCTCCCCCCAGATTCTTTGATTTAATGTGAAAGTCATCTGTCTTCTTGTAAGTGCATTTGTATTCCTTAATATTTTGATTTGCCGAGAACACTGCAGTGTTTCCTTTTGTATCTCTCTGAGCTGGCTATTTGGATTGATCCTTGATGCTTGATAAGATATGGGAACATCAGTGGTGTGACAGCCCTGTGCAGGCTCTAAAAGGAATATGCACATGACCTTTTATTTTAAAAGTCAATAAGATAAGCTGAGAGTGTACATATAATAGAAAGTGGTGGTATTACACCTTAAAGCTGAACTTTACCCATAACAATTTGTTTAAAAATAATGTTCTTTAGCAAGGAACATACATTACACATTAATAATTATGCTACCAAACTTAGTATGTGCTATAATTTGCTTCAAGCATTGTTCCTGCTTCTTCTTGCCGAAGGCTGCCATTTTGATGAAGCCTAAAGCACCTGCAGCAGTCTGTGGATAGATTGACCTCTACATTTTTGGCACAATGCTGAAAAATAGTGAGCAATTAAGCATGTGCAGAGCAGGGCTAGACAGTGTGTTACAGGACTTTAAACAGTATAGGCACGTATTTTTAATGTTTTACATAGCTATACCTGCAAAAGGGGCTAGCCTGAAGTGATCTAGCAGGACTTAAAGTTTTAATAAACCCACAGTAGTAAAATCAGTCTGTATATGCAGTAAAGCATGCTTGTTATACTCACTGTGGAACCTAAGGGGTTAATCCTCTGCATTGTGTAAAAAAGATGTTTGATCCAACTGCTAATAGAACAGAGCCTTGGAGGCAAGCTGCACATGCTAAGTTTGGTGTGTATTACTAGAGAGTTTTTAACACAAGACAAAGAGTTTTTCACTTGTGGAGGTTCTTCATCATTCAATCCAATATACAGTAAGCTTACTTGAACAATCTCCTTTCATGCTGTGAGTCCTACCTGTCTGCTGGCCATCTCTTTCTACAACTTCCTTTATTCCCTGCATTCTTTGCAGCGTCTCCCCTGCTGTTTACTTTCAATTTCTAAGGACTACATATCCCATGGTACCTTGCTGCCTAAAAGCAGTGATTCCTGTAATGACTCCGCTTCTTGAATCTGCTTCTCTCAGTTCAGAAGGCAGGCTCTGTGAAATGTGTGACACAGCAGTACCTATCAATCAGGGGCAGACTGACCATTCGTGCACTAGCGCACTGCCCGAGGGCCCGGGGTCAGACCATAGATACGTTTTAACGTTTATCTAGTGTTTACTAAGAATGTGTAAATAACTGACTGTCTGTTGCCTGGCCACTGGTTATTATTATTATTATTATACAGGATTTATATAGTGCCAACAGTTTGCTCAGTGCTTTACAATATAAAGGGAGACAATACAGCAACGATACAGTTCAATATAAGAGGGTTAGGAGGGCCCTGCTCCTTGGAGCTTACAATATAAGAGGGAGGGGCTAGTGGTACAAAAGGTAATAACTGTGGGGGATGGACTGGTAGGAGGAATAGAAGATTTGGGTATTAGCTGAAGGCAAGGATAGGATTCCCTGAAGAGATAGGTTTTCAGAGTGGGCAGAGTAGGCGATTGTCTGATAGATTGGGGTAGAGAGTTCCAGAGGATGGGGGAGGCTCTGGAGAAGTCTTGGAGGTTCATTTAAGGCTTCATATAGGCATCTGGTGGACAGTAAAAACAGGTGGGTTGATCTGTGTTTTTACTGTCCCTAGGCACCATCTACAGTGTAACACATTGTCTGGAAATTTTATTTTGACATTTCACATTTGCCAAGCTGTTTTAGCTTGCCACATTCCCCCATTGAAGTCAACTGGACTGCACCAAAACCAAAGTAAAAAAATTACATAGTGGCTGTAGTCAGTAGAAGGAGGAAGTGTCCCATCATTGGTATTAGTGGGAGGAATAGTGCTCCATCATTTGGTATTAGTGGGAGGAACAGTGCTCCATCATTGGTATTAGTGGGAAGAATAGTGCCCCATCATTGGTATTAGTGGGAGGAATAGTGGCCAATCATTGGGAATAGTGGGAGGAATAGTGTCCCTTCATTGGTATTAGTGGTAGAAATAGTGCCCCATCATTGGTAACAGTGGGAGGAATAGTGTCCCTTCATTGGTAAATTAGTGGGAGGAATAGTGCCCCATCATTGGTAACAGTGGGGAGGAATAGTGCTCCATCATTGGTATTAGTGGTAGGAATAGTGCCCCATCATTGGTAATAGTGGAGGAATAGTGCCCCATCATTGGTAATAGTGGGAGGAATAGTGTCCCATATTGGTATTAGTGGGAGGAATAGTGCCAAATCATTGGTAATAGTGGGAGGAATAGTGCCCCATCATTGGTTAAACAGTGGGAGGAATAGTGCTCCATCATTGGTATTTAGTGGTAGGAACAGTGCCCCATCATTGGTACTAGTGGGAGAAAAGTGCTCCATCATTGGTATTAGTGGGAGGAATAGTGCTCCATCATTGGTATTAGTGGGAGGAATAGTGCCCCATCATTGGTAATAGTGGGAGAAATAGTGCTCCAACATTGGTATCAGTGAGAGGAATAGTGCTCCATCATTGGTATTAGTGGGAGGAATAGTGCTCCATCATTGGTGTCAGTTGGAAGAAAAAAATGCCCCATTGTTGGTGTCAGTGGGAGAAATAGTGCCCCAGGAGCCAGATAAAAGCAAGCAAAGAGCTACATTTGGCCCATGTGGCCAGTTTGGAGACCACTGCTGTAGACTATAAATAAAAACCTCCTAGATCAAAGTAACAACACTAATACTGACATGAGCATGTAACAGCATTACCCTGTCAAATATATGCCTTTTGCTGCAAAAATACCTGCCTCAGAACTTCCCAAGAGCTTCCCAACATTGATCTGAAAAAGGCAGCTCACTCCATGTTCTTATTTTGCATATATAAACACAACCCTTACCAGCCCACATGAAAGCACCTGAGCCTGCTGATACAGCAATCAGTGTCCATGCATTGTGGTGCAGAATGAAGGCAAGCTCATTGTGACGATCGCGTGTCAGACCCCTGACCTTCTCACCAAACTCGTGACCTAAGGACTAGCCAATCTGAAACCGCGATGTCACGTGCGTAACAATGCCCACGCTCAGCTGCACCCTGCACAACAATTTTCCAGCTCACTGGACCTCAAATTGATTGTACCTGCCGCCTGGGAACGATTGCTACTGGGTCAGGTTAATTACGCAATTAACCCTTAACACTGCCACCGCCTCCTTTTTGTACAGAGAAAGAGGAAACTCGGCGATATCAGCTATAACACTATAAAATGGTTGAGATAGTCTGTATAGCACTGTCACTGCAGACAGGTTATACAGAGGGTTAAAACAAACACAGTAGCGTTCTTTTAGAGGCAGGAATTCGAAAATTGCATTAAGGAGCTTTAGAAACAGTTCAACACTTTCAGAAAGAAGGATTTATTACTAAAAAGGTCAAAAGGGTGCAATAAAAATATTTACAGAAAAAAGATGTAACCAATAAATATATAAATATACAGAGAACAACAGCACAGCAAAGAGGTAACAGAAAGGAGGTTAAAAGGTAAAAGTACTTGCAATCAGCCTTGGGTTTGCAGATCAAGTTTCAAAGCAAAAGGGCACGTCTCCCAAGTTGGTTCTGATGTTAAAAGGGAGAATTCTTCAACTTACTCTCTTAGGCCTGACAGCCCATTTTTGTAGTCCCCCAGCAGGGGTGTCTCTAAAACCAGGACCAATGCTTCATTTAGGGAGGGAAGGTCTGGGCGTAGCCCTAAACTAGAGCCAAAATCTCTCATAGTTCATATTTTGGCTCATAAACTTTTTCCTATGCAAAAGTGACATTCCACCCGCGGGTAGATTACTATGCATACGCATCTGAGGAACGGTTAGATATGAAAATATGAAATACATATTTGAAAGGGTTTTCAAGAGATGTAATTTTCTGCTGTCCTAGGTATTCTAGTCAGGGAGTGTGTGACCTAATTAAACTGTTTGTCCTTCCGTGGTGGTGGGCAATCTGAAGATACAGTAGGCTTGATTTTTATGTAAGTCTCTCATATTCCAAGATATGAGACATAGGGGTAAAAATAGATTTTAACAGTGTTATCTAGTTTCTAATCCTCGGGAATGTCTTTGAACTCAGGGGAAGGCTTGGGTCTATCTTTTTACGAGGTGCCAGATTACTCAGCTTCCCAGCCCGACCCGGCACCCAGCTTAAAGATGGTTTATAGCTCGGAGCTCCTATGGTTTATAGCTGTGGCCTGACCGGTTCTGTGACACTTCCAACACACACACACAATCAGATGTCACTGTAACTCTCAGAGAGGGAGAATGAGGGGGAATATGTTTGTACAAGATGGTTGACCCTTTGCAAGATGGTGGTTGGAGCCAAAATGGTTGAACCGCGTCCATCTCTGGTGTACGCTTGCTACACTCATCATTGCGCATTTGTGTGTGCAGAATGAAGGCAGGCGCATCATTGCCATCCCTCCAGCATTCCTGATGAACTGACAGAAATGCACCAGGTAGATCAGGGGTGTCCAAACTTTTTTCAAAGAGGGCCAGATTGGATGAAGTGAACATGGTGGAGGGCCGAACATTTTTCCGACATTCTTTGAACCATTACAATTAAAAAGCAAATAAATTATTTTATGCCAGTTAATTGCAAAAAGACATACTTTTCATTTCATAACATTAAGATCAACTGACAGCTGAGTTTTCACAATGTATTGAAAATAAATTTAAAAAAAACTTACCTGCACTAATGTGAAGGGTGAAAAAGGTAGCTGGAGCTGAAGTCTCTGCTCGGCAGCCGGGAGGGGAAGAGAAACACACTTCACGCTGGAAGCCCGGCCCTGGCGTTACCGCCCTCTGTCGCTCCCAGCGCGGCGCAGTCACGATAGAAGGGAGGGCCGTGGGAGGGCCACATTACACAGAGCAGGGAGGGCTGTTGGAGGGTGGGCCGTATTAAACCGACCCCCGGGCCCGTAAATGGCCCGCGGGCGGACTTTGGACATGCCTGAGGTAGATAGTCCTGTTGGCACCCTCCCACCCAAACATGCTTCAATTGAAAAATCAATGGAGCCAGATGGAAAATTTTTTGGCAAAACAGCAGCAGCTGTTTTGCCAAATCAGATGCAGCTGCTGTTAAGGCAAAGTGGAATATTTGTCCATACACATTGTATAGCGTGGAGGGAGGAATCCGCTTGATTTTTTTTTTTTTAATTCAGCCTAAGCCTTTTTCACATAGGGCTTAAATATACGTGCACACACTGTGTGAGTTCAGGAACTGCACCCACACCTTCACGGATGCCAGGGAGAAGCAACTGTGTCCATTCAGCAGCTGTGCCACAATTGACATCAATGGGACTGCTTGCATGGGATGCATAGAACTCCTGTGAGTTCGATTCTGTGCGGGTAAACATGGCCCTCACACAGGCCATGCATATATACTGTATATGCCCTATGTGAACAAAGTCTAACATTCAAATTTAATAGTGCACGGCCAACCTTAATCTCCATTTCCAGTAACAAGCGGAACATCATCCAGCTCAGAGCAGTTCTGAGATGAGAGTTCCGTAGCAGCAGTTGACAGCTACCTACTGCTGCTGTTAGCTTTGTTATTTTGTTTTGACCACAGTTTTGCTTTAAGCTCAATTTTCTTTAGAATGAATCGTCTTGGAGAGCACAAAAAGCTCTATAGTTTGCTGCTGCATTCCATTTGTG